GTGCGGGCGGTGGGGGGAGGGGGGGGCCCGCGTCGGCCACATGGCGCAGGCGAGGACCGGCGCGGCGCCGGCCGGCCGTGCGAGCATGGTGCGGGCGCGCGGCGGCGGCGCGACTACACAATCTTGGAACATGGTCAGCAATCAATTGTCAATCAATCGTCAGTCAATTGTCAATCAATCATCAATCAAGTAAGCGGTTGATAAATCAATCAATCATGCTCTCGCCCCCTCTCCCTGCCTCACCCCTGAACAGGTCAACGCCATCGCGGCCGCCGGCGCGGGCGGCCCGCCGCCGCCGCCTACGGTCGGGCAGCAGCAGGGCGGCATGGGCGACAGCGACGTGCGCACGTGCGCGCGACTGCTGACCAACGGGCTGGCCTGCTCCAGGATCGTCGCGTACTGGGGGTGAGCCGCGGCCCGGGGTCTAGGATACATACGAAACGCAGAAGCTGCTTTGGCAAGGCCGGCGTGTTGCCTCAACGGGAGGCGCCGGCGCCCTCGGCGGCCGGCTTCTGGGGGCCGCCGCGTGTCGGCGCAAGGGTACGGGGTCTGCGTCTTTTGGGGGAGAGGGCGCGGCCCCTGTTCGCGGGACGGGCGCCCGTCGCCCGAGGCGAGCCCTGGAACGGCTGACCGGCCCCCTGCCAGCACCCGCCCGCCCTGAACAGACCAGACCGCGGCCATCGAGTGAATATGCACCCTCGAGCGCCCACCCCACCGCTCCTTTGTGCCAAATCCGCCCCCAACAACCCCCGCTCCCCCACCTCCCCAAACAAATAATAGGGATTGCAAGGAGTTTTGCGAGCACTTTGCTGAGATCTTCACGGTCATGGACGTGAGGGACTTTGTGGACGTCTTCAGGTGACACCCCCAGGGGGAGGGAGGGGGAGGGGTCACCAGGGGTGTCACCAAGAGGCGTCACCAGGGGGCCCGCCGTCCTCACCATGCAGGGGGAAGGGGGGGGAGAGGTTATCACTGGCGAGGTAGGGCGTCGCCACAGAGGGCGTGTGTGCAAGCCCCTCGGCCCGACCAAACGCGCCTTCCCCTTTCCCGGTGTCCATACCGCCACCCACTGACCGCCCCCCCCTCCCCCCCCCCTTCCCCCTGCTGTGACTTCACAGCGTGAAGATGGGGGCCCTGGTGGCCATGGTGGTGGCCGAGCCGGACGCCATGATGGTGGCCACACACCTGGTGCAGAGCCCGGTGGTCGGCAGGTGAGGGGGGGCGGTGGCCGGGCCAAACCCCCGGGGCGGGGAACCCCTCGCATGCCTGTAAGATGCGGTGTGAGGCAGGCAACTGGCGGAGCGGGGTTGTGCATGTTTAGCGTCCCCGTGCGGCCGGCGTCGCCGCGCGGCGATCCTTCTCAGGGGGTAAGGGGTCGCATGCGTGACCGGGGCGGGCCAGCACGGCCGGCGAGGCTGGGGCCCGCAGGCGCGGCGCGCGGGCCCCCGCAGGCCCGGCACGGCGGGGAGGCCCGGCCTTTGCGCCAGCGACCCTGAGATGGCACCTGCCTCCGCGCAGCGACACCCCCAACCCAATCAGCACGCCCCCACACGCCGCCAACCTCACCTCCACCCCTCCGCCGTGCGC